ACCACAAGACAACTTTAGATTAAGGCCATCAGTCTAACTCCGTACTACAACAACACAAACCAAAACAACTTTTAGAAATCACCAAAAACTAAAGCCGTAATTGCAACTTAACTAGTTCATCACAGGGACTGTGACCGAATTTTCACAATAAACTACATAAACAACACCAAATCCTACAGCCATAGCGTGACGATGTAATAAATAAAGCAATCGATAATAATTCACCTGAAGGCGATCTATAGTATTGATTATTTTGTCTCCAGCTACGAGTGTCGATTGATGCGGTCACGAAAGATTCAAAATCAACACTGGTGACGTCACCACTTCGCCTCTTGCCCGCGCGATGACGTCACGCGATAAATTATCCTCGAGGCGCGGTGACGTCACGCATACACCAAACACAAGCGGGACGACGTCATCGACTACTCGCCAACCACAGCCTGGTGACGTCATCACGTCAAGCCAGCGCGGTGACGTCATCACGTCAATGTCCGCTCCCCACTGGCGCTGGCGCTGCGTCGCCTCCGCCTCGCCACCCCAGCGTGGTGACGTCACCACGTCAAGCCAGCGCGGTGACGTCACCACGTCAATGTCCGCTCCCCACTGTCGCTGCCGCTGCGTCGCCTCCTCGTCCTCGCCACCTCAGCGTGGTGACGTCACCACGTCATCGTCCGCTGCACTGTCACTGGCGCTGCCGCTGCGTCGCCTCCTTCCTCCTCGCCACCCCCAGCGTGATGACGTCACCACGTAAAACCAGCGCGGTGACGTCACCACGTCAATGTCCGCTCCACTGTCACTGGCGCTGCGTCGCCTCCTCCTCCTCGCCACCCCAGCGTGGTGACGTCACCACGTCAAGCCAGCGTGGTGACGTCGCCACGTCAATGTCCGCGCCACTGTCACTGGCGCTGCGTCGCCTCCTCCTCCTCGCCACCCCAGCGTGGTGACGTCACCACGTCAAGCCAGCGTGGTGACGTCGCCACGTCAATGTCCGCTCCACTGTCACTGGCGCTGCGTCGCCTCCTCATCGCCACCCCAGCGTGGTGACGTCACTACGTCAAGCCAGCGTGGTGACGTCACCACGTCAATGTCCGCTCCACTGTCGCTGGCGCTGCGTCGCCTCCTCCTCGCCACCCCAGCGTGGTGACGTCACCACATCAAGCCAGCGCGGTGACGTCACCACGTCAATGTCCGCTCCACTGTCACTGGCGCTGCAGCTGCGTCGCCTCCTCGCTCGCAGAGAATCAGCGGCGGCCGCAGAGGAAGAGGTGGAGGAGGTGTAGAGGAGGTGGTGGTGTAGAGGTGGTGGTGTAGAGGTGGTGGTAGTGTAGTGGTGGTGTAGTGGTGGTGGTGGTGTAGTGGTGGTGGTGTAGTGGTGGTGGTGGCGTAGTGGTGGTGGTGTAGTGGTGGTGGTGTAGTGGTGGTGGTGTAGAGGAGGTGGTGGTGTAGTGGTGGTGTAGTGGTGGTGGTGTAGTGGTGGTGGTGTAGTGGTGGTGGTGTAGTGGTGGTGGTGGTGTAGTGGTGGTGGTAGTGTAGTGGTGGTGGTAGTGTAGTGGTGGTGGTGTAGAGGTGGTGGTGTAGTGGTGGTGGTGGTGTAGTGGTGGTGTAGTGGTGGTGGTGGTGTAGTGGTGGTGGTGTAGTGGTGGTGGTGTAGTGGTGGTGGTGTAGTGGTGGTGGTGGTGTAGTGGTGGTGGTGTAGTGGTGGTGGTGTAGTGGTGGTGGTGTAGAGGTGGTGGTGGTCTTCCGCTAGTTTTGTGTTGTTGTGGTGTTGTTGTGGTGTTGTTGGTGGTGTTGTGTTGTTGTGAGGTGTTGTTGTTGTGGTGTTGTGTTATTGTTGTCGTGTTGTTGGTGTTGTGTTGTTGTTTTTGTGTTATGTTGTTGATGTGTTGTGTTGTAGGTACAGTGTAAAAATGGTGTATACAGTATACACCGTGAACACTACATTGTGCACAACGTGTACACACTGTACTGTACACACTGTACACACTGTCTACCCCCCTCCCCCCGTGTCTCCCCCCCCGTGTCTCCCCCCCCGTGTCTCCCCCCGTCTCTCCCCCCGCGTCGCGCAAGCGTCTGCGTGGTGACGTCGTCACGCAAGAGCGTGAGTGGTGACGTCGTCGCCCAGGAGCGTGCGTGGTGACGTCGTCGCGCAACAGCGTGCGTGGTGACGTCGCGCAAGAGGCCTTGGCGTGGTGACGTCGACGCGCAAGTGCATGCGTGGTGACGTCGTCGCGCAAGAGCGTGCGTGGTGACGTCGCGCATGAGCGTGCGTGTTGACGTCTCGCGCAAGAGCCTGCGTGGTGACGTCATCGCACAAGAGCCTGCGTGGTGACGTCCGCGCAAGAGCGTGCGTGGTGACGTCGACGCGCAAGAGCGTGCGAGGTGACGTCATCGCGCAAGAGCCTGCGTGGTGACGTCGCGCAAGAGCGTGCGTGGTGACGTCGTCGCGCAAATGTCTGCGTGGTGACGTCTTTGCGCGCATGAGCGTGCGTGGTGACGTCGTCTTGCAAGAAGCCTTGGCGTGGTGACGTCGTCGCGCAAGAGCGTGCGTGGTGACGTCGTCGCGCAAGAGCGTGCGTGGTGACGTCGTCGCGCAAATGTCTGCGTGGAGACGTCTTTGCGCGCATGAGCGTGCGTGGTGACGTCGTCTTGCAAGAAGCCTTGGCGTGGTGACGTCGTCGCGCAAGAGCGTGCGTGGTGACGTCGTCGCGCAAGAGTCTGCGTGGTGACGTCACCGCGCAAGATGCGTGATGACGTAATAAATAAATCGATAATAATTCTACTAAAGACGGTCGCCTGCTGTTGTTGCGATAGAAACATCGTGATCTACAGTATTGTTCATAGTTACATTTAATTTGGTATAGCCCTGTGAGCCATCCGGCTCTTGAATCGGGTGCAACCACAACAAAGTAAACTAAACTAAAACACGAACAATAAAAATACATCTTAAAGTGACTCCTCTGTGTGTGACTGTGCACAGAAAATCCAGGGGGGAAATAAACATCAAAATATTCCTGAAATAGCACCGTTACACCACCAACTGTGTGTGTAAATATCCCAGTGGGATGCAAGTCAAGATAACAACAATAACAACAACAAGACAACTTTAGATTAAGGCCATCAGTCTAACTTCGTACTACAACAACAACCACAACAAGACAACTTAGATTAAGGCCATCAGTCTAACTCCTTACTACAACAACAACAACCACAAGACAACTTAGATTAAGGCCATCAGTCTAACTCCGTACTACAACAACACAAACCAAAACAACTTTAGATTAAGGCCATCAGTCTAACTCCTTACTACAACAACAACCACAACAACACAACTTTAGATTAAGGCCATCAGTCTAACTCCGTACTACAACAACAACCACAAGACAACTTTAGATTAAGGCCATCAGTCTAACTCCGTACTACTACAACACAAACCAAAACAACTTTTAGAAATCACCAAAAACTAAAGCCGTAATTGCAACTTAACTAGTTCATCACAGGGACTGTGACCGAATTTTCACAATAAACTACATAAACAACACCAAATCCTACAGCCATAGCGTGACGATGTAATAAATAAAGCAATCGATAATAATTCACCTGAAGGCGATCTATAGTATTGATTATTTTGTCTCCAGCTACGAGTGTCGATTTGGTTCGGTCACGAAAGATTCAAAATCAACACTGGTGACGTCACCACTTCGCCTCTTGCCCGCGCGATGACGTCACGCGACAAATTCTCCTCGAGGCGCGGTGACCTCACGCATACACCAAACACAAGCGGGACGTCATCGACTACTCGCCAACCACAGCCTGGTGACGTCATCACGTCAAGCCAGCGCGGTGGCGTCATCACGTCAATGTCCGCTCCCCACTGGCGCTGGCGCTGCGTCGCCTCCGCCTCGCCATCCCAGCGTGGTGACGTCACCACGTCAAGCCAGCGCGGTGACGTCACCACGTCAATGTCCGCTCCCCACCGTCGCTGCCGCTGCGTCGCCTCCTCGTCCTCGCCACCTCAGCGTGGTGACGTCACCACGTCAATGTCCGCTCCACTGTCACTGGCGCTGCCGCTGCGTCGCCTCATCCTCGCCACCCCAGCCTGGTGACGTCACCACGTCAAGCCAGCGTGGTGACGTCGCCACGTCAATGTCCGCTCCACTGTCACTGGCGCTGCGTCGCCTCCTTCCTCACCACCCCAGCGTGGTGACGTCATCACGTAAAGCCTGCGTGGTGACGTCACCACGTCAAGCCAGCGTGGTTACGTCACCACGTCAATGTCCGCTCCACTGTCACTGGCGCTGCCGCTGCGTCGCCTCCTTCCTCGTCGCTACCCCAGCGTGGTGACGTCACTATACCAAGCCAGCGTGGTGACGTCACCACGCCAATGTCCGCTCCACTGTCACTGGCGCTGCCGCTGCGACGCCTCCTCCTCGCCACCCAGCGTGGTGACGTCACCACGTCAAAGCCAGCGTGGTGACGTCACCACGTCAAAGCCAGCGTGGTGACGTCACCACGTCAATGTCCGCTCCACTGTCACTGGCGCTGCAGCTGCGTCGCCTCCTCCTCGCCACCCCAGCGTGGTGACGTCACCACATCAAGCCAGCGTGGTGACGTCACCACGTCAATGTCCGCTCCACTGTCGCTTGCGCTGCGTCGCCTCCTCCTCCTCGCCACCCCAGCGTGATGACGTCACCACATCAAGCCAGCGCGGTGACGTCACCACGTGAAGCCAGTGTGGTGACGTCACCACGTCAATGTCCGCTCCACTGTCACTGGCGCTGTCGCTGCGGCGCCTCCTTCCTCCTCGCCACCCCAGCGTGGTGACGTCTCTACGTCAAGTCAGCGTGGTGACGTCACCACGTGAAGCCAGTGTGGTGACGTCACCACGTCAATGTCCGCTCCACTGTCACTGGCGCTGTCGCTGCGTCGCCTCCTTCCTCCTCGCCACCCCAGCGTGGTGACGTCACTACGTCAAGTCAGCGTGGTGACGTCATCCACGTGAAGCCAGTGTGGTGACGTCACCACGTCAATGTCCGCTCCACTGTCACTGGCGCTGCAGCTGCGTCGCCTCCTCGCTCGCAGAGAATCAGCGGCGGCCGCAGAGGAAGAGGTGGAGGAGGTGTAGAGGAGGTGGTGGTGTAGAGGTGGTGGTGGTGTAGTGGTGGTGGTGTAGTGTAGTGGTGGTGGTAGTGTAGTGGTGGTGGTAGTGTAGTGGTGGTGGTGGTGTAGAGGTGGTGGTGGTGTAGTGGTGGTGGTGTAGTGGTGGTGGTGTAGAGGTGGTGGTGTAGTGGTGGTGTAGTGGTGGTGGTGTAGAGGTGGTGGTGTAGTGGTGGTGGTGTAGTGGTGGTGGTGTAGTGGTGGTGTAGTGGTGGTGGTGTAGTGGTGGTGGTGTAGTGGTGGTGGTGTAGTGGTGGTGGTGGTGTAGAGGTGGTGGTAGTGTAGTGGTGGTGGTGGTGTAGAGGTGGTGGTGTAGAGGTGGTGGTGGTGTAGTGGTGGTGGTGTAGTGGTGGTGTAGTGGTGGTGGTGTAGAGGTGGTGGTGTAGTGGTGGTGGTGTAGTGGTGGTGGTGGTGTAGAGGTGGTGGTAGTGTAGTGGTGGTGGTGGTGTAGAGGTGGTGGTGGTGTAGTGGTGGTGTTGTAGTGGTGGTGGTAGTGTAGTGGTGGTGGTAGTGTAGTGGTGGTGGTGTAGTGGTGGTGGTGGTGTAGAGGTGGTGTAGTGGTGGTGGTGTAGAGGTGGTGGTGTAGTGGTGGTGGTGTAGTGGTGGTGGTGTAGTGGTGGTGGTGTAGAGGTGGTGGTGTAGTGGTGGTGGTGTAGTGGTGGTGGTGTAGTGGTGGTGGTGTAGAGGTGGTGGTGTAGTGGTGGTGGTGTAGTGGTGGTGTTGTAGTGGTGGTGGTGTAGAGGTGGTGTAGAGGTGGTGGTGGTGTAGTGGTGGTGGTGTAGTGGTGGTGGTGGTGTAGTGGTGGTGGTGTAGAGGTGGTGGTGTAGTGGTGGTGTAGTGGTGGTGGTGGTGTAGAGGTGGTGGTGTAGAGGTGGTGGTGTAGTGGTGGTGTAGTAGTGGTGGTGTAGAGGTGGTGGTGTAGTGGTGGTGTAGTAGTGGTGGTGGTGTAGTGGTGGTGGTGTAGTGGTGGTGTAGTAGTGGTGGTGTAGAGGTGGTGGTGTAGTGGTGGTGTAGTGGTGGTGGTGTAGTGGTGGTGGTGTAGTGGTGGTGGTGTAGTGGTGGTGGTGTAGTAGTGGTGGTGTAGAGGTGGCGGTGGTGGTCTTCCGCTAGTTTTGTGTTGTTGTGGTGTTGTTGTTGTTGTGGTGTTGTTGGTGTTGTGTTGTGAGGTGTTGTTGTTGTTGTGGTGTTGTTCTGTTATTGTTGTGTTATTGTTGTGTTGTTGTCGTGTTGTTGGTGTTGTGTTGATGTGGTGTTGTTGATGTGTTGTGTTGTTGTTGAGGTGTTGTTGTTGTTGTGTTGATGTGGTGTTGTGTTGTTGATGTGTTGTTGTTGATGTGTTATGTTGTGATGTTGTTGTGTTGATGTGTTTTTGATGTTGTGTTGTTGTTGATGTGTTGTTGATGTTGTTGTGTTGTTGTTGATGTGTTGTTGATGTTGTTGATGTTGTTGTTGTGTTGTTGATGTTGATGTGTTGTTGATGTTGTTGATGATGTGTTGTTGATGGTGATGATGTTGTTGTTGTTATTGATGTGTTGTTGATGTGTTGATGTTGTGTTGTTGATGTGTTGTTGTGTTGTTGTTGATGTGTTGTTGATGTTGTGTTGTTGTTGTGTTGTTGTTGATGTGTTGATGTGTTGTTGTTGTGTTGTTGTTCTTGATGTTGTTGATGTTGTTATTGATGTGATGATGATGTTGTTGATGGTGATGATGTTGTTGTTATTGATGTGTTGTTGATGTGTTGATGTTGTGTTGATGTTGTTGTTGTTGAGGCTGCCCATGAGTGTGACTCTGGTAGCGCTGCGCCTTGAGCTCAGCCCGGACTCAAACTTCCCCTCCCACTTCCATCGCTGCCACTGTAAGTACAGTGTATACAGTGGGCACAGTGTGTACAGTAGGCACAATGTGTACAGTGTAAAATAGTGTGTACAGTAGACACAGTGTACATTGGGCGCAGTGTGTACAGTAGATAGTGTAAAAATAGTGTATACAGTATACACCGTGAACACTACATTGTGCACAATGTGTACACACTGTACCGCACACACTGTACTGTACACACTGTACTGTGCACACTGTACTGTACACACTGTACTGTACACACTGTACTGTACACACTGTACTGTACACACTGTACACACTGTCTACCCCCCCTCCCCCCGTGTCTCTCCCCGCGTCGCGCAAGCGTCTGCGTGGTGACGTCGTCACGCAAGAGCGTGCGTGGTGACGTCATCGCCCAGGAGCGTGCGTGGTGACGTCGTCGCGCAACAGCGTGCGTGGTGACGTCGCGCAGAGGCCTTGGCGTGGTGACGTCGACGCGCAAGTGCATGCGTGGTGACGTCGCGCAAGAGCGTGCGTGGTGACGTCGCGCATGAGCGTGCGTGGTGACGTCTCGCGCAAGAGCGTGCGTGGTGACGTCATCGCACAAGAGCCTGCGTGGTGACGTCCGCGCAAGAGCGTGCGTGGTGACGTCGACGCGCAAGAGCGTGCGAGGTGACGTCGTCGCGCAAGAGCCTGCGTGGTGACGTCGCGCAAGAGCCTGCGTGGTGACGTCGCGCAAGAGCGTGTGTGGTGACGTCGCGCAAATGTCTGCGTGGTGACGTCTTTGCGCGCATGAGCGTGCGTGGTGATGTCGTCTTGCAAGAAGCCTTGGCGTGGTGACGTCGTCGCGCAAGAGCGTGCGTGGTGACGTCGCGCAAGAGCGTGCGTGGTGACGTCGTCGCGCAAATGTCTGCGTGGTGACGTCTTTGCGCGCATGAGCGTGCGTGGTGACGTCTTGCAAGAAGCCTTGGCGTGGTGACGTCACCGCGCAAGATGCGTGATGACGTAATAAATAAATCGATAATAATTCTACTAAAGACGGTCGCCTGCTGTCGTTGCGATAGAAACATCGTGATCTACAGTATTGTTCATAGTTCATAGTTACATTTAATTTGGTATAGCCCTGTGAGCCATCCGGCTCTTGAATCGGGTGCAACCACAACAAAGTAAACTAAACTAAAACACGAACAATAAAAATACATCTTAAAGTGACTCCTCTGTGTGTGACTGTGCACACAGAAAATCCAGGGGGAAAATAAACATCAAAATATTCCTGAAATAGCACCGTTACACCACCAACTCTGTGTGTAAATATCCCAGTGGGATGCAAGTCAAGATAACAACAATAACCACAAGACAACTTTAGATTAAGGCCATCAGTCTAACTCCGTACTACAACAACAACCACAAGACAACTTTAGATTAAGGCCATCAGTCTAACTCCGTACTACAACAACCACAAGACAACTTTAGATTAAGGCCATCAGTCTAACTCCGTACTACAACAACCACAAGACAACTTTAGATTAAGGCCATCAGTCTAACTCCGTACTACAACAACAACCACAAGACAACTTTAGATTAAGGCCATCAGTCTAACAACGTACTACAACAACAACCACAAGACAACTTTAGATTAAGGCCATCAGTCTAACTCCGTACTACAAACAACAACCACAAGACAACTTTAGATTAAGGCCATCAGTCTAACTCCGTTACTACAACCACAAGACAACTTAGATTAAGGCCATCAGTCTAACTCCGTACTACAACAACAACCACAAGACAACTTTAGATTAAGGCCATCAGTCTAAACTCCGTACTACAACAACAACCACAAGACAACTTTAGATTAAGGCCATCAGTCTAACTCCGTACTACAACAACCACAACAAGACAACTTTAGATTAAGGCCATCAGTCTAACTCCGTACTACAACAACAACCACAAGACAACTTTAGATTAAGGCCATCAGTCTAACTCCGTACTACAACAACAACAAGACAACTTAGATTAAGGCCATCAGTCTAACTCCGTACTACAACAACAACCACAAGACAACTTTAGATTAAGGCCATCAGTCTAACTCCGTACTACAACAACAACCACCACAAGACAACTTAGATTAAGGCCATCAGTCTAACTCCGTACTACTACAACAACAACAACAAGACAACTTTAGATTAAGGCCATCAGTCTAACTCCGTTACTACAACAACCACCACAAGACAACTTTAGATTAAGGCCATCAGTCTAACTCCGTACTACAACAACACAAACCAAAACAACTTTTAGAAATCACCAAAAACTAAAGCCGTAATTGCAACTTAACTAGTTCATCACAGGGACTGTGACCGAATTTTCACAATAAACTACATAAACAACACCAAATCCTACAGCCATAGCGTGATGACGTAATAAATAAAGCAATCGATAATAATTCACCTGAAGGCGATCTATAGTATTGATTATTTTGTCTCCAGCTACGAGTGTCGATTGATGCGGTCACGAAAGATTCAAAATCAACACTGGTGACGTCACCACTTCGCCTCTTGCCCGCGCGATGACGTCACGCGATAAATTATCCTCGAGGCGCGGTGACGTCACGCATACACCAAACACAAGCGGGTCGACGTCATCGACTAGTCGCCAACCACAGCGTGGTGACGTCATCACGGCAAGCCAGCGCGGTGACGTCATCACGTCAATGTCCGCACCCCACTGGCGCTGGCGCTGCGTCGCCTCCTCAGCCTCGCTACCCCAGCGGTGGTGACGTCACCACGTCAAGCCAGCGTGGTGACGTCACCACGTCATCGTCCGCTGCACTGGCGCTGCCGCTGCGTCGCCTCCATCCTCCTCGCCACCCCACAGCGTGATGACGTCACCACGTAAAGCCAGCGTGGTGACGTCACCACGTCAATGTCCGCTCCACTGTCACTGGCGCTGCCGCTGCGTCGCCTCCTCCTCGCCACCCCAGCGTGGTGACGTCACCACGTCAAGCCAGCGTGGTGACGTAGCCACGTCAATGTCCGCTCCACTGTCACTGGCGCTGCGTCGCCTCTTTCCTCCTCGCCACCCCAGCGTGGTGATGTCACCACGTCAAGCCAGCGTGGTGACGTCACCACGTCAATGTCCGCTCCACTGTCACTGGCGCTGCCGCTGCGACGCCTCCTCCTCGCCACCCAGCGTGGTGACGTCACCACATCAAGCCAGCGCGGTGACGTCACCACGTAAATGTCCGCTCCACTGTCACTGTCGCTGCAGCTGCGTCGCCTCCTTCCTCCTCGCCACCCCAGCGTGGTGACGTCACCACATCAAGCCAGCGCGGTGACGTCACCACGTAAAATGTCCGCTCCACTATCACTGGCGCTGCAGCTGCGTCGCCTCCTTCCTCCTCGCCACCCCAGCGTGGTGACGTCACCACGTAAAGCCAGCGTGGTGACGTCACCACGTCAATGTCCGCTCCACTGTCACTGGCGCTGCAGCTGCGTCGCCTCCTTCCTCCTCGCCGCCCCAGCGTGGTGACGTCACCACGTCAAGCCAGCGTGGTGACGTCACCACGTCAATGTCCGCTCCACTGTCACTGCAGCTGCGTCGCCTCCTCCTCGCCACCCCAGCGTGGTGACGTCACCACGTCAAGCCAGCGTGGTGACGTCACCACGTCAATGTCCGCTCCACTGTCGCTGGCGCTGCGTCGCCTCCTCCTCCTCGCCACCCCAGCGTGGTGACGTCACCACATCAAGCCAGCGCGGTGACGTCACCACGTAAATGTCCGCTCCACTGTCACTGGCGCTACGTCGCCGCCTCCTCCTCCTCGCCACCCCAGCGTGGTGACGTCACCACATCAAGCCAGTGCGGTGACGTCACCACGTCAATGTCCGCTCCACTGTCGCTGGCGCTGCGTCGCCTCCTCCTCGCCACCCCAGTGTGGTGACGTCACCACATCAAGCCAGCGCGGTGACGTCACCACGTAAATGTCCGCTCCACTGTCACTGGCGCTGCAGCTGCGTCGCCTCCTTCCTCCTCGCCACCCCAGCGTGGTGACGTCACAACGTAAAGCCAGCGTGGTGACGTCACCACGTCAATGTCCGCTCCACTGTCACTGGCGCTGCCGCTGCGTCGCCTCCTTCTTCCTCGCCACCCCAGCGTGGTGACGTCACCACGTCAAGCCAGCGTGGTGACGTCACCACGTCAAGCCAGCGTGGTGGTGTCACCACGTAAAGCCAGCGTGGTGACGTCACCACGTCAATGTCCGCTCCACTGTCACTGGCGCTGCAGCTGCGTCGCCTCCTCGCTCGCAGAGAATCAGCGGCGGCCGCAGAGGAAGAGGTGGAGGAGGTGTAGAGGAGGTGGTGGTGTAGTGGTGGTGGTGGTGTAGTGGTGGTGGTGTAGTGGTGGTGGTAGTGTAGTGGTGGTGGTGTAGAGGTGGTGGTGGTGTAGTGGTGGTGGTGTAGTGGTGGTGGTAGTGTAGTGGTGGTGGTAGTGTAGTGGTGGTGGTGTAGAGGTGGTGGTGTAGTGGTGGTGGTGTAGTGGTGGTGGTGTAGTGGTGGTGTTGTAGTGGTGGTGGTGTAGAGGTGGTGTAGTGGTGGTGGTGTAGTGGTGGTGGTGTAGTGGTGGTGGTGGTGTAGTGGTGGTGTTGTAGTGGTGGTGGTGTAGTGGTGGTGTAGTGGTGGTGGTGTAGTGGTGGTGGTGTAGTGGTGGTGGTGGTGTAGTGGTGGTGGTGTAGTGGTGGTGGTGTAGAGGTGGTGTAGTGGTGGTGGTGTAGTGGTGGTGGTGGTGTAGTGGTGGTGGTGGTGTAGTGGTGGTGGTGTAGTGGTGGTGGTGTAGAGGTGGTGGTGGTGTAGTGGTGGTGGTGTAGTGGTGGTGGTGTAGTGGTGGTGGTGTAGTGGTGGTGGTGTAGAGGTGGTGGTGGTCTTCCGCTAGTTTTGTGTTGTTGTGGTGTTGTTGTTGTGGTGTTGTTGGTGGTGTTGTGTTGTTGTGAGGTGTTGTTGTTGTGGTGTTGTTGGTGGTGTTGTGTTATTGTTGTGTTGTTGTCGTGTTGTTGGTGTTGTTGTTTTTGTGTTGATGGTGATGATGTTGTGTTGATGTTGTGTTGTTGAGGCTGCCCATGAGTGTGACTCTGGTAGCGCTACGCCTTGAGCTCAGCCTGGACTCAAGCTTCCCCTCCCACTTCCATCGCTGCCACTGTAAGTACAGTGTGTACAGTAGGTACAGTGTGTACAGTAGACACAGTGCATAGAGTGCGTACAGTGGGCACAGTGCGCGCAGCAGGCACAATGTGTACAGTGTAAAATAGTGTGTACAGTAGACACTGTGCATTGGGCGCGGTGTGTACAGTAGGTAGTGTAAAAATGGTGTATACAGTATACACCGTGAACACTACATTATGCACAATGTGTACACACTGTACTGTACACACTGTACACACTGTCTACCCCCGTGTCTCCCCCCCCCGTGTCTCCCCCCCCCCGTCTCCCCCCCCCCCCGTGTCTCCCCCCCCCCGTGTCTCCCCCCCCCGTGTCTCCCCCCCCCGTGTCTCCCCCCCCCGTGTCTCCCCCCCCCCCCGTGTCTCCCCCCCCCGTGTCTCCCCCCCCCGTGTCTCCCCCCCCGTGTCTCTCCCCGCGTCGCGCAAGCGTCTGCGTGGTGACGTCGTCACGCAAGAGCGTGCGTGGTGACGTCGTCGCGCAAGAGGCCTTGGCGTGGTGACGTCTCGCGCAAGCGTCTGCGTGGTGACGTCGTTGCGCAAGAGCGTACGTGGTGACGTCGCGCATGAGCGTGCGTGGTGACGTCGTTGCGCAAGAGCCTGCGTGGTGACGTCCGCGCAAGAGCGTGCGTGGTGACGTCGACGCGCAAGAGCGTGCGAGGTGACGTCATCGCGCAAGAGCCTGCGTGATGACGTCTTTGCGCGCATGAGCGTGCGTGGTGACGTCTTGCAAGAAGCCTTGGCGTGGTGACGTCGTCGCGCAAGAGCGTGCATGGTGACGTCGTGGCGCAAGAGCGTGCGTGGTGACGTCGCGCAAATGTCTGCGTGGTGACGTCTTTGCGTGCATGAGCGTGCGTGGTGACGTCGTCTTGCAAGAAGCCTTGGCGTGGTGACGTCGTCGCGCAAGAGCGTGCGTGGTGACGTCGTCGAGCAAGAGTCTGCGTGGTGACGTCACCGCGCAAGATGCGTGATGACGTAATAAATAAATCGATAATAATTCACCTAAAGACGGTCGCCTGCTGTTGTTGCGATAGAAACATCGCGATCTACAGTATTGTTCATAGTTCATAGTTACATTTAATTTGGTACAGCCCTGTGAGCCATCCGGCTCTTGAATCGGGTGCAACCACAACAAAGTAAACTAAACTAAAACACGAACAATAAAAATACATCTTAAAGTGACTCCTCTGTGTGTGACTGTGCACAGAAAATCCAGGGGGAAAATAAACATCAAAATATTCCTGAAATAGCACCGTGTACACCACCAACTCTGTGTGTAAATATCCACTGGGATGCAAATCAAGATAACAACAATAACAACAAGACAACTTAGATTAAGGCCATCAGTCTAACTCCGTACTACAACAACAACAACCACAAGACAACTTTAGATTAAGGCCATCAGTCTAACTCCTTACTACAACAACAACCACAAGACAACTTTAGATTAAGGCCATCAGTCTAACTCCTTACTACAACAACAACCACAAGACAACTTTAGATTAAGGCCATCAGTCTAACTCCGTACTACAACAACCACAAGACAACTTTAGATTAAGGCCATCAGTCAAAACTCCGTTACTACAACAAGACAACTTAGATTAAGGCCATCAGTCTAAACTCCGTACTACAACAACAACCACAACAAGACAACTTTAGATTAAGGCCATCAGTCTAACTCCGTACTACAACAACAACCACAAGACAACTTTAGATTAAGGCCATCAGTCTAACTCCGTACTACAACAACAACAAGACAACTTTAGATTAAGGCCATCAGTCTAACTCCGTACTACAACAACAACCACCACAAGACAACTTTAGATTAAGGCCATCAGTCTAACTCCGTACTACAACAACAACCACAAGACAACTTTAGATTAAGGCCATCAGTCTAACTCCGTACTACAACAACAACCACAACAAGACAACTTTAGATTAAGGCCATCAGTCTAAACTCCGTACTACAACAACACAAACCAAAACAACTTTTAGAAATCACCAAAAACTAAAGCCGTAATTGCAACTTAACTAGTTCATCACAGGGACTGTGACCGAATTTTCACAATAAACTACATAAACAACACCAAATCCTACAGCCATAGCGTGATGACGTAATACATAAATAAAGCAATCGATAATAATTCACCTGAAGGCGATCTATAGTATTGATTATTGTCTCCAGCTACGAGTGTCGATTGATGCGGTCACGAAAGATTCAAAATCAACACTGGTAACGTCACCACTTCGCCTCTTGCCCGCGCGATGACGTCACTCGATAAATTATCCTCGAGGCGCGGTGACGTCACGCATACACCAAACAAGCGGGACAACGTCATCGACTACTCGCCAACCACAGCGTGGTGACGTCATCACGTCAAGCCAGCGCGGTGACGTCATCACGTCAATGTCCGCTCCCCACTGGCGCTGCGTCGCCTCCGCCTCGCCACCCTAGCGTGGTGACGTCACCACGTCAAGCCAGCGGGGTGACGTCACCACGTCAACGTCCGCTCCCCACTGTCGCTGCCGCTGCGTCGCCTCCTCGTCCTCGCCACCTCAGCGTGGTGACGTCACCACGTCATCGTCCGCTGCACTGTCACTGGCGCTGCCGCAGCGTCGCCTCCTTCCTCCTCGCCACCCCACAGCGTGATGACGTCACCACGTGAAGCCAGCGTGGTGACGTCACCACGTCAATGTCCGCTCCACTGTCACTGGCGCTGCCGCTGCGTCGCCTCCTCCTCGCCACCCCAGCGTGGTGACGTCACCACGTCAAGCCAGCGTGGTGACGTCGCCACGTCAATGTCCGCTCCACTGTCACTGGCGCTGCGTCGCCCCTTTCCTCCTCGCCACCCCAGCGTGGTGACGTCACCACGTAAAGCCAGCGTGGTGACGTCACCACGTCAAGCCAGCGTGGTAACGTCACCACGTCAATGTCCGCTCCACTGTCACTGGCGCTGCCGCTGCGTCGCCTCCTTCCTCCTCGCTACCCCAGCGTGGTGACGTCACTATGTCAAGCCAGCGTGCTGACGTCACCACGTCAATGTCCGCTCCACTGTCACTGGCGCTGCAGCTGCGTCGCCTCCTCCTCGCCACCCCAGCGTGGTGACGTCACCACGTCAAGACAGCGTGGTGACGTCACCACGTCAATGTCCGCTCCACTGTCGCTGGCGCTGCCTCCTCCTCCTCGTCACCCCAGCGTGGTGACGTCACCACATCAAGCCAGCGCGGTGACGTCACCACGTAAATGTCCGCTCCACTGTCACTGTCGCTGCAGCTGCGTCGCCTCCTTCGTCCTCGCCACCCCAGCGTGGAGACGTCACCACGTCAAGCCAGCGTGGTGACGTCACCACGTCAATGTCCGCTCCACTGTCGCTGGCGCTGCGTCGCCTCCTCCTCGCCACCCCAGTGTGGTGACGTCACCACATCAAGCCAGCGCGGTGACGTCACCACGTCAATGTCCGCTCCACTGTCACTGGCGCTGCAGCTGCGTCGCCTCCTTCCTCCTCGCCACCCCAGCGTGGTGACGTCACCACGTAAAGCCAGCGTGGTGACGTCACCACGTCAATGTCCGCTCCACTATCACTGGCGCTGCGTCGCCTCTTTCCTCGCCACCCCAGCGTGGTGACGTCACCACGTCAAGCCAGCGTGGTGACGTCACTACGTCAAGCCAGCGTGGTGGTGTCACCACGTAAAGCCAGCGTGGTGACGTCACCACGTCAATGTCCGCTCCACTGTCACTGGCGCTGCAGCTGCGTCGCCTCCTCGCTCGCAGAGAATCAGCGGCGGCCGCAGAGGAAGAGGTGGAGGAGGTGTAGAGGAGGTGGTGGTGTAGAGGTGGTGGTGGTGTCGAGGTGGTGGTAGTGTAGTGGTGGTGGTAGTGTAGTGGTGGTGGTAGTGTAGTGGTGGTGGTAGTGTAGTGGTGGTGGTGGTGGTGTAGTGGTGGTGGTGGTGTAGTGGTGGTGGTGGTGTAGTGGTGGTGGTGTAGTGGTGGTGTAGTGGTGGTGGTGTATAGGTGGTGGTGGTGGTCTTCCGCTAGTTTTGTGTTGTTGTGGTGTTGTTGTTGTGGTGTTGTTGGTGGTGTTGTGTTGTTGTGAGGTGTTGTTGTTGTGGTGTTGTGTTATTGTTGTCGTGTTGTTGGTGTTGTGTTGTTTTTGTGTTGTTATGTTGTTGATGTGTTGTTGATGTGTTGATGTGTTGATGTTGTTGTTGTTGAGTCTGCCCATGAGTGTGACTCTGGTAGCGCTGCGCCTTGAGCTCAGCCCGGACTCAAACTTCCCCTCCCACTTCCATCGCTGCCACTGTAAGTACAGTGTGTACAGTAGGCACAGTGTGTACAATAGACACAGCGTATACAGTGCATACAGTGGGCACAGTGTGTACAGTAGGCACAATGTGTACAGTGTAAAATAGTGTGTACAGTATACACTGTGTACATTGGGCGCAGTGTGTACAGTAGGTACAGTGTAAAAATGGTGTATACAGTATACACCGTGAACACTATTTTGTACACAATGTGTACACACTGTACTGTACACACTGTACACACTGTACACAGTCTACCCCCCCTTCCCCCGTGTCTCCCCCCGTGTCTCCCCCCCCCCCCGTCTCTCCCCCCCCCCGTCTCTCCCCCCCCCCGTCTCTCCCCCCCCCGTCTCTCCCCCCCCCCCCGTCTCTCCCCGCGTCGCGCAAGCGTCTGCGTGGTGACGTCGTCACGCAAGAGCGTGCGTGGTGACGTCGTCGCCCAGGAGCGTGCGTGGTGACGTCGTCGCGCAACAGCGTGCGTGGTGACGTCGTCGCGCAAGAGGCCTTGGCGTGGTGACGTCTCGCGCAAGCGTCTGCGTGGTGACGTCGTTGCGCAAGGGCCTGCGTGGTGACGTCTCGTGCAAGAGGCCTTGGCGTGGTGACGTCGACGCGCAAGTGCATGCGTGGTGACGTCGCGCATGAGCGTGCGTGGTGACGTCTCGCGCAAGAGCGTGCGTGGTGACGTCTCGCGCAAGAGCGTGCGTGGTGACGTCATCGCACAAGAGCCTGCGTGGTGACGTCCGTGCAAGAGCGTGCGTGGTGACGTCGACGCACGCGCAAGAGCGTGCGAGGTGACGTCATCGCGCAAGAGCCTGCGTGGTGACGTCGCACAAGAGCATGCGTGGTGACGTCGTCGCGCAAATGTCTGCGTGGTGACGTCTTTGCGCGCATGAGCGTGCGTGGTGACGTCGTCTTGCAAGAAGCCTTGGCGTGGTGACGTCGTCGCGCAAGAGCGTGCGTGGTGACGTCGTCGCGCAAGAGCGTGCGTGGTGACGTCGTCGCGCAAATGTCTGCGTGGGGACGTCTTTGCGCGCATGAGCGTGCGTGGTGACGTCGTCTTGCAAGAAGCCTTGGCGTGGTGACGTCGTCGCGCAAGAGCGTGCGTGGTGACGTCGCGCAAGAGCGTGCGTGGTGACGTCGTCGCGCAAGAGTCTGCGTGGTGACGTCACCGCGCAAGATGCGTGATGACGTAATAAATAAATCGATAATAATTCTACTAAAGACGGTCCCCTGCTGTTGTTGCGATAGAAACATCGTGATCTACAGTATTTTTCATAGTTACATTTAATTTGGTATAGCCCTGTGAGCCATCCGGCTCTTGAATCGGGTGCAACCACAACAAAGTAAACTAAACTAAAACACGAACAATAAAAATACATCTTAAAATGACTCCTCTGTGTGTGACTGTGCACACAGAAAATCCAGGGGGGAAATAAACATCAAAATATTCCTGAAATAGCACCGTTACACCACCAACTCTGTGTGTAAATATCCCAGTGGGATGCAAGTCAAGATAACAACAATAACCACAAGACAACTTTAGATTAAGGCCATCAGTCTAACTCCGTACTACAACAACAATAATCACAAGACAACTTTAGATTAAGGCCATCAGTCTAACTCCGTACTACAACAACAACCACAAGACAACTTAGATTAAGGCCATCAGTCTAACTCCGTACTACAACAACAACCACAAGACAACTTAGATTAAGGCCATCAGTCTAACTCCGTTACTACAACCATAAGACAACTTAGATTAAGGCCATCAGTCTAACTCCGTTACTACAACCATAAGACAACTTTAGATTAAGGCCATCAGTCTAACTCCGTTACTACAACCATAAGACAACTTAGATTAAGGCCATCAGTCTAACTCCGTTACTACAACCATAAGACAACTTTAGATTAAGGCCATCAGTCTAACTCCGTTACTACAACAACCACAAGACAACTTTAGATTAAGGCCATCAGTCTAACTCCGTACTACTACAACAACAACCACAAGACTACTTTAGATTAAGGCCATCAGTCTAACTCCGTACTACAACAACAACCACAAGACAACTTAGATTAAGGCCATCAGTCTAACTCCGTACTACAACAACAACCACAAGACAACTTAGATTAAGGCCATCAGTCTAACTCCGTACTACAACAACAACCACAAGACAACTTAGATTAAGGCCATCAGTCTAACTCCGTTACTACAACCATAAGACAACTTAGATTAAGGCCATCAGTCTAACTCCGTTACTACAACCATAAGACAACTTTAGATTAAGGCCATCAGTCTAACTCCGTTACTACAACAACCACAAGACAACTTTAGATTAAGGCCATCAGTCTAACTCCGTACTACTACAACAACAACCACAAGACTACTTTAGATTAAGGCCATCAGTCTAACTCCGTACTACAACAACAACCACAAGACAACTTTAGATTAAGGCCATCAGTCTAACTCCGTACTACAACAACAACCACAAAACAACTTTAGATTAAGGCCATCAGTCTAACTCCGTACTACAACAACAACCACAAGACAACTTTAGATTAAGACCATCAGTCTAACTCCGTACTACAACAACAACCACCACAAGACAACTTTAGATTAAGGCCATCAGTCTAACTCCGTACTACAACAACACAAACCAAAACAACTTTTAGAAATCACCAAAAACTAAAGCCGTAATTGCAACTTAACTAGTTCATCACAGGGACTGTGACCGAATTTTCACAATAAACTACATAAACAACACCAAATCCTATAGCCATAGCGTGATGATGTAATAAGTAAATAAAGCAATCGATAATAATTCACCTGAAGGCGATCTATAGTATTGATTATTTTGTCTCCAGCTGCGAGTGTCGATTGATGCGGTCACGAAAGATTCAAAATCAACACTGGTGACGTCACCACTTCGCCTCTTGCCCGCGCGATGAGGTCACTCGATAAATTATCCTCGAGGCGCGGTGACGTCACGCATACACCAAACACAAGCGGGACGACGTCATCGACTACTCGCCAACCACAGCCTGGTGACGTCATCACGTCAAGCCAGCGCGGTGACGTCATCACGTCAATGTCCGCTCCCCGCTGGCGCTGCGTCGCCTCCGCCTCGCCACCCCAGCGTGGTGACGTCACCACGTCAAGCCAGCGCGGTGACGTCACCACGTCAATGTCCGCTCCCCACTGTCGCTGCCGCTGCGTCGCCTCCTCGTCCTCGCCACCTCAGCGTGGTGACGTCACCACGTCATCGTCCGCTGCACTGTCACTGGCGCTGCCGCTGCGTCGCCTCCTTCCTCCTCGCCACCCCCAGCGTGATGACGTCACCACGTAAAACCAGCGTGGTGACGTCACCACGTCAATGTCCGCTCCACTGTCACTGGCGCTGCGTCGCCTCCTCCTCCTCGCCACCCCAGCGTGGTGACGTCACCACGTCAAGCCAGCGTGGTGACGTCGCCACGTCAATGTCCGCTCCACTGTCACTGGCGCTGCGTCGCCTCCTCCTCGCCACCCCAGCGTGGTGACGTCACCACGTCAAGCCAGCGTGGTGACGTCGCCACGTCAATGTCCGCTCCACTGTCACTGGCGCTGCGTCGCCTCCTCATCGCCACCCCAGCGTGGTGACGTCACTACGTCAAGCCAGCGTGGTGACGTCACCACGTCAATGTCCGCTCCACTGTCGCTGGCGCTGCGTCGCCTCCTCCTCGCCACCCCAGCGTGGTGACGTCACCACATCAAGCCAGCGCGGTGACGTCACCACGTAAATGTCCGCTCCACTGTCACTGGCGCTGCAGTTGCGTCGCCTCCTTCCTCCTCGCCACCCCAGCGTGGTGACGTCACCACGTAAAGCCAGCGTGGGGACGTCACCACGTCAATGTCCGCTCCACTGTCACTGCCGCTGCGACGCCTCCTCGCCACCCAGCGTGGTGACGTCACCACGTCAATGTCCGCTCCACTGTCACTGGCGCTGCCGCTGCGTCGCCTCCTTCCTCCTCGCCACCCCAGCGTGGTGACGTCACCACGTCAAGCCAGCGTGATGTCACCACGTAAAACCAGCGTGGTGACGTCACCACGTAAATGTCCGCTCCACTGTCACTGGCGCTGCAGCTGCGTCGCCTCCTCGCTCGCAGAGAATCAGCGGCGGCCGCAGAGGAAGAGGTGGAGGAGGTGTAGAGGAGGTGGTGGTGTAGAGGTGGTGGTAGTGTAGTGGTGGTGGTGGTGTAGTGGTGGTGGTGTAGTGGTGGTGGTGGTGTAGTGGTGGTGGTGTAGTGGTGGTGGTGGTGTAGAGGTGGTGGTGGTGTAGTGGTGGTGGTGGTGGTCTTCCGCTAGTTTTGTGTTGTTGTGGTGTTGTTGTGGTGTTGTTGGTGGTGTTGTGTTGTTGTGAGGTGTTGTTGTTGTGGTGTTGTGTTATTGTTGTCGTGTTGTTGGTGTTGTGTTGTTGTTTTTGTGTTATGTTGTTGATGTGTTGTGTTGTTGTAGGTACAGTGTAAAAATGGTGTATACAGTATACACCGTGAACACTACATTGTGCACAACGTGTACACACTGTACTGTACACACTGTACACACTGTCTACCCCCCTCCCCCCGTGTCTCCCCCCCCGTGTCTCCCCCCCCGTGTCTCCCCCCGTCTCTCCCCCCGCGTCGCGCAAGCGTCTGCGTGGTGACGTCGTCACGCAAGAGCGTGAGTGGTGACGTCGTCGCCCAGGAGCGTGCGTGGTGACGTCGTCGCGCAACAGCGTGCGTGGTGACGTCGCGCAAGAGGCCTTGGCGTGGTGACGTCGACGCGCAAGTGCATGCGTGGTGACGTCGTCGCGCAAGAGCGTGCGTGGTGACGTCGCGCATGAGCGTGCGTGATGACGTCTCGCGCAAGAGCCTGCGTGGTGACGTCATCGCACAAGAGCCTGCGTGGTGACGTCCGCGCAAGAGCGTGCGTGGTGACGTCGACGCGCAAGAGCGTGCGAGGTGACGTCGTCGCGCAAGAGCCTGCGTGGTGACGTCGCGCAAGAGCGTGCGTGGTGACGTCGTCGCGCAAATGTCTGCGTGGTGACGTCTTTGCGCGCATGAGCGTGCGTGGTGACGTCGTCTTGCAAGAAGCCTTGGCGTGGTGACGTCGTCGCGCAAGAGCGTGCGTGGTGACGTCGTCGCGCAAGAGCGTGCGTGGTGACGTCGTCGCGCAAATGTCTGCGTGGAGACGTCTTTGCGCGCATGAGCGTGCGTGGTGACGTCGTCTTGCAAGAAGCCTTGGCGTGGTGACGTCGTCGCGCAAGAGCGTGCGTGGTGACGTCGTCGCGCAAGAGTCTGCGTGGTGACGTCACCGCGCAAGATGCGTGATGACGTAATAAATAAATCGATAATAATTCTACTAAAGACGGTCGCCTGCTGTTGTTGCGATAGAAACATCGTGATCTACAGTATTGTTCATAGTTACATTTAATTTGGTATAGCCCTGTGAGCCATCCGGCTCTTGAATCGGGTGCAACCACAACAAAGTAAACTAAACTAAAACACGAACAATAAAAATACATCTTAAAGTGACTCCTCTGTGTGTGACTGTGCACACAGAAAATCCAGGGGGGAAATAAACATCAAAATATTCCTGAAATAGCACCGTTACACCACCAACTGTGTGTGTAAATATCCCAGTGGGATGCAAGTCAAGATAACAACAATAACAACAACAAGACAACTTTAGATTAAGGCCATCAGTCTAACTCCGTACTACAACAACAACCACAACAAGACAACTTAGATTAAGGCCATCAGTCTAACTCCTTACTACAACAACAACAACCACAAGACAACTTAGATTAAGGCCATCAGTCTAACTCCGTACTACAACAACACAAACCAAAACAACTTTAGATTAAGGCCATCAGTCTAACTCCTTACTACAACAACAACCACAACAACACAACTTTAGATTAAGGCCATCAGTCTAACTCCGTACTACAACAACAACCACAAGACAACTTTAGATTAAGGCCATCAGTCTAACTCCGTACTACTACAACACAAACCAAAACAACTTTTAGAAATCACCAAAAACTAAAGCCGTAATTGCAACTTAACTAGTTCATCACAGGGACTGTGACCGAATTTTCACAATAAACTACATAAACAACACCAAATCCTACAGCCATAGCGTGACGATGTAATAAATAAAGCAATCGATAATAATTCACCTGAAGACGATCTATAGTATTGATTATTTTGTCTCCAGCTACGAGTGTCGATTTGGTTCGGTCACGAAAGATTCAAAATCAACACTGGTGACGTCACCACTTCGCCTCTTGCCCGCGCGATGACGTCACGCGACAAATTCTCCTCGAGGCGCGGTGACCTCACGCATACACCAAACACAAGCGGGACGTCATCGACTACTCGCCAACCACAGCCTGGTGACGTCATCACGTCAAGCCAGCGCGGTGGCGTCATCACGTCAATGTCCGCTCCCCACTGGCGCTGGCGCTGCGTCGCCTCCGCCTCGCCACCCCAGCGTGGTGACGTCACCACGTCAAGCCAGCGCGGTGACGTCACCACGTCAATGTCCGCTCCCCACCGTCGCTGCCGCTGCGTCGCCTCCTCGTCCTCGCCACCTCAGCGTGGTGACGTCACCACGTCAATGTCCGCTCCACTGTCACTGGCGCTGCCGCTGCGTCGCCTCATCCTCGCCACCCCAGCCTGGTGACGTCACCACGTCAAGCCAGCGTGGTGACGTCGCCACGTCAATGTCCGCTCCACTGTCACTGGCGCTGCGTCGCCTCCTTCCTCCTCACCACCCCAGCGTGGTGACGTCATCACGTAAAGCCTGCGTGGTGACGTCACCACGTCAAGCCAGCGTGGTTACGTCACCACGTCAATGTCCGCTCCACTGTCACTGGCGCTGCCGCTGCGTCGCCTCCTTCCTCGTCGCTACCCCAGCGTGGTGACGTCACTATACCAAGCCAGCGTGGTTACGTCACCACGCCAATGTCCGCTCCACTGTCACTGGCGCTGCCGCTGCGACGCCTCCTCCTCGCCACCCAGCGTGGTGACGTCACCACGTCAAAGCCAGCGTGGTGACGTCACCACGTCAAAGCCAGCGTGGTGACGTCACCACGTCAATGTCCGCTCCACTGTCACTGGCGCTGCAGCTGCGTCGCCTCCTCCTCGCCACCCCAGCGTGGTGACGTCACCACATCAAGCCAGCGTGGTGACGTCACCACGTCAATGTCCGCTCCACTGTCGCTTGCGCTGCGTCGCCTCCTCCTCCTCGCCACCCCAGCGTGATGACGTCACCACGTGAAGCCAGTGTGGTGACGTCACCACGTCAATGTCCGCTCCACTGTCACTGGCGCTGCCGCTGCGACGCCTCCTCCTCGCCACCCAGCGTGGTGACGTCACCACGTCAAAGCCAGCGTGGTGACGTCACCACGTCAAAGCCAGCGTGGTGACGTCACCACGTCAATGTCCGCTCCACTGTCACTGGCGCTGCAGCTGCGTCGCCTCCTCCTCGCCACCCCAGCGTGGTGACGTCACCACATCAAGCCAGCGTGGTGACGTCACCACGTCAATGTCCGCTCCACTGTCGCTTGCGCTGCGTCGCCTCCTCCTCCTCGCCACCCCAGCGTGATGACGTCACCACATCAAGCCAGCGCGGTGACGTCACCACGTGAAGCCCGTGTGGTGACGTCACCACGTCAATGTCCGCTCCACTGTCACTGGCGCTGTCGCTGCGTCGCCTCCTTCCTCCTCGCCACCCCAGCGTGGTGACGTCTCTACGTCAAGTCAGCGTGGTGACGTCACCACGTGAAGCCAGTGTGGTGACGTCACCACGTCAATGTCCGCTCCACTGTCACTGGCGCTGTCGCTGCGTCGCCTCCTTCCTCCTCGCCACCCCAGCGTGGTGACGTCACTACGTCAAGTCAGCGTGGTGACGTCATCCACGTGAAGCCAGTGTGGTGACGTCACCACGTCAATGTCCGCTCCACTGTCACTGGCGCTGCAGCTGCGTCGCCTCCTCGCTCGCAGAGAATCAGCGGCGGCCGCAGAGGAAGAGGTGGAGGAGGTGTAGAGGAGGTGGTGGTGTAGAGGTGGTGGTGGTGTAGTGGTGGTGGTGTAGTGTAGTGGTGGTGGTGTAGTGGTGGTGGTGGTGTAGAGGTGGTGGTAGTGTAGTGGTGGTGGTGGTGTAGAGGTGGTGGTGGTGTAGTGGTGGTGGTAGTGGTGGTGGTGTAGTGGTGGTGGTGTAGTGGTGGTGGTGTAGAGGTGGTGGTGGTGTAGTGGTGGTGGTGTAGTGGTGGTGTAGTGGTGGTGGTGTAGAGGTGGTGGTGTAGTGGTGGTGGTGTAGTGGTGGTGGTGTAGTGGTGGTGGTGTAGTGGTGGTAGTGTAGTGGTGGTGGTGGTGTAGAGGTGGTGGTGGTGTAGTGGTGGTGGTGTAGTGGTGGTGGTGGTGTAGAGGTGGTGGTGTAGTGGTGGTGGTGTAGTGGTGGTGGTGTAGTGGTGGTGGTGTAGAGGTGGTGGTGTAGTGGTGGTGGTGTAGTGGTGGTGGTGTAGAGGTGGTGGTGTAGAGGTGGTGGTGTAGTGGTGGTGTAGTAGTGGTGGTGGTGTAGTGGTGGTGGTGTAGTGGTGGTGGTGTAGTGGTGGTGGTGTAGTGGTGGTGGTGTAGAGGTGGTGGTGTAGTGGTGGTGTAGTGGTGGTGGTGTAGTGGTGGTGGTGTAGTGGTGGTGGTGTAGTGGTGGTGGTGTAGTGGTGGTGGTGTAGAGGTGGTGGTGTAGAGGTGGTGGTGGTGTAGTGGTGGTGGTGGTGTAGAGGTGGTGGTGGTGTAGTGGTGGTGGTGGTGTAGTAGTGGTGGTGTAGAGGTGGCGGTGGTGGTCTTCCGCTAGTTTTGTGTTGTTGTGGTGTTGTTGTTGTTGTGGTGTTGTTGGTGTTGTGTTGTGAGGTGTTGTTGTTGTTGTTGTGGTGTTGTTCTGTTATTGTTGTGTTATTGTTGTGTTGTTGTCGTGTTGTTGGTGTTGTGTTGATGTGGTGTTGTTGATGTGTTGTGTTGTTGTTGAGGTGTTGTTGTTGTTGTGTTGATGTGGTGTTGTGTTGTTGATGTGTTGTTGTTGATGTGTTATGTTGTGATGTTGTTGTGTTGATGTGTTTTTGATGTTGTTGTGTTGTTGTTGATGTGTTGTTGATGTTGTTGTGTTGTTGTTGATGTGTTGTTGATGTTGTGTTGTTGTTGATGTTGTTGTTGTGTTGTTGATGTTGATGTGTTGTTGATGTTGTTGATGATGTGTTGTTGATGGTGATGATGTTGTTGTTGTTATTGATGTGTTGTTGATGTGTTGATGTTGTGTTGTTGATGTGTTGTTGTGTTGTTGTTGATGTGTTGTTGATGTTGTGTTGTTGTTGTGTTGTTGTTGATGTGTTGTTGTTGTGTTGTTGTTCTTGATGTTGTTGATGTTGTTATTGATGTGATGATGATGTTGTTGATGGTGATGATGTTGTTGTTATTGATGTGTTGTTGATGTGTTGATGTTGTGTTGATGTTGTTGTTGTTGAGGCTGCCCATGAGTGTGACTCTGGTAGCGCTG